GCGCTCTTAGCAAAACAAATCCTCTTTCAGTCTTTTAAAATGTAGAGTTAACAGGAAATATCCTTGGCACAACAATATGACCCTGCCTGACCCTTAGAACTATGAACAGGTTACTCAGACTCTGTGAAACCAGTAACAGATCTGACCAGCCTACACTTCACTGAAAAGGGTGATTTGCATATATTTCTAATACTATGACATGATGGAAAAGAAAGAACCTCATATGTGTTAGATAGAGGTAAAGGCATCTGAAAGTGCAATAAGAATCAATGTGATATGTGTAATAAAATAAGATAAATAGGCCAGGCGCGGTGGCTCATGCCTATAATACTAGCATTTTGGGAGGCCGAGGCGGGCGGATCATGAGGTCAGGAGATTGAATCCATCCTAGTCAACATGGTGAAACTCCATCTCTACTAAAATACAAAAAATTAGCCGGGCATGGTGGAAAATGCCTGCAGTCCCAGATACTCGGGAGGCTGAGGCAGGGGAATCGCTTGAACCCATGAGGCAGAGGTTGCAGTGAGCTGAGATCACACCACTGCACTCCAGCCTGGCAACAGAGCAATACTCCATCTCAAAAAAAAAAAAAAAAAAAAAAAAGATAATTTTTTTCAGAACCTCAGAACTTCTCCTTTGAAACACTTTGATTAAAAAATGAAAAAATATATGCATGCATGAACCTAGAGGCAAGTCTTTTTAGAAAACATAAAATATTTTAAGTAATTTTTTCTGAACAGAATTGGCTCTAATGTGTGAGAGGTCTATGAAGATTAGCCTCTTGCTACTTTATGTTTTAAAGTATATTCCTTGAGACCCAAAGTTTCTGACTTTAGAAAACAACTCTCAACTACTATCGGCTATCCTCTAGACACTTTCAAAATCCTCTAAAACCTAATAGTGGTGCAAGATTTTGTCTTTCCTAGTGATAACTAGATTTAAGTAAGAAAATGCTAAAGACTAAAAAGTGTTTAGGACCCACAAGAAAGGTATAATTCTGTTCCTCATAGAGATATTTTAGTTACACACTTCTTATTCTGATCCTCCCCAAAACATAGAAATCTAGAGTTGGCATTTAAAGAGAAAATGAGATTTTTGTCTGGAAACAGGAGAGAAAAGTTTTCAAGAAGTATGGAAAGCATATGAAAGGGCACAAGGTTTGAAATGGCCTGTACTCATGAGAGAATGCAGAATACACATGGGTGTGGAGGAGCCTGGAAAGAATGGAGAGAAGTAAGGCTGGAGTATCAAGTATGGTTCAGAGTACAGAGCATAAAATCCCATACGAATGTAGAACATGAGAAGCCAATAACCATTGTGTGAGAAACACACGGAAAAGAGGAAGAAAAAAGTCCACATAGTGTACTTACAGTCAAAACAATCCTAGGAGGTGACTTACATGTATCATGTCATAAAATCCGTAACACAATTCCATTAGATGGGTACTGTTTTCATAGTTACACAAGTGAAAACTCTTGAGGGTCAAGATGTTCAGTGTAGCAGGCACAGTATAATTTCTTGGCTCAAGATGCCTCCAATGTCAGTGAACATTACTTTCCCAAGACTGTCTATTTAGGAAATAGTAAGGCCAATTGTCTATGAAGGAAGTACTGTTATAATCGCCATTTTACGGAGGAGTAAATGGAGATTCAGAGAGGTTAAGTCATCTGACTATAGTTACACAGCTACAAAAAAAAATAGAGCAAGGATTCAAATACAGCAATCTGGTCCTAGAAAGCCTAAATATTCTACACCCTGCTTTCTGATTCAGAGCAATTTCCTGCTTTTCTCCCTTCGATAGAAAAAAATGTATGTGTGTGGGGTTGGGGGCAAATAAATTGACTGGCTATATTTTCTCTCTTTAATATTTGATCTTTCATTGTCTGCCCCAAGCAGTGGGTCTTCCTCCTTTATCTTCTTCTTGTGAAAATAGCTAAAATCACCTAACTGGTAAAAACCTAGGCAGGTTTTGTGTTCTAGCCTCCATTCTTCCAGTCTAATGGGAGGTTGTTAAATTTTGGTACTCATTGTATGTAGAAGACCTCTAAGTTCGCTAAAGAGCTTACTGCACATTGATTTTTTTTTTTAGATTCAAAAGGAATCAATTGAGCACCTCCTATACTCCAGGACATGTGCAAGATGCAAGAGATAGAGCAGTAAAAAAGTCTGATACGGTTTCCCCTCCCTTTCCCAGCTGTGTACAGATGTTCTTCAGGTGGTAAATGCTGGAGAAGAGGAGACCAGAAATACTGGCCTGATGGGTCTATAGATGAGATTATCTGCCCATGACTGGTGCAGAGATGGCTGCATTGCTAGACCTCTCCATCGTCCTCTGAATATGTGTCTGCTAATTTATTATCCCAGTGGCATATTTAGTCATCATGAACCATCCTCCCTTTTTGAGTCTCAGGCCCTGGTCTTGCTTTTCAATAGACTCCCTCCCTCTCTTCCTTCCTCTTTCCTTCCCAGACTGCTTGACTTCCTGACTTCCTGACTTCCTTCCTTCCTGCCTTCCTGCCTTCCTGCCTTGTCTTGCCTTGCTTTTCAATTGATTCCCTCACACCCTCCCTTCCTCCTTGTTTCCTCCCTCCCTCCCTGACTTCCTGACTTCCTTCCTTCTTTCCTTCTTCTTTTCTGTCTTTTTCCAGACGTGCTTTTCAGGAAACAGTGGTCTGCTTGTTGAAGTCTGATAATTTTCTACTTCCTCATCCTCCACTCTATTGAAATTTAGTGTGACATGATCATTTCCACCTCATTAGGTACTTCTTTCATGGTCAGAAGTAAGTCTGGAGAAAAAAAAAAAAAAAAATCTCTTGTTTCTGCTCTCATTTGAGGGTCAAATTTTCAATAAGTCACTTTTTAAAAAAGCATTTTCTGACACTTCCCATAAGCTTGAAATCCTCCTAAACTGCTGTATATTGCCTCCGTATACATTGTGTATCTATTTTAGGAACACTCCATCCACATTTGCCAGTCAGCCTGGTGTTCTGCAGTTAGTTCCTACAGTGATATTTTAATTTAGCTCTCTTTTCATCCTCACACATGCATCCTTTCTGGATATTTAGCTCCTTTCCTGGAATCCCTTTTAAGATTTCTAGATCTTGTTTGCTTCCATGATTTCTTCTCCTGGACTGTGACACAAAACGCTATTCCTTCTTTACATTACATTTAATTCTTTATAGAAAGAGCCTCAGAGTAGTCAGATAGCTTTGAGAAACAAAATTTTTTCTTTATCACCTCAGTGTTACTGCCTTTGAATCATTATTTCTTGACATAAATTTCTTTATTCTGATACTTAAAACACTATTTTTTTCTGTCTGCATTGATCAATATTAGTTCCTTCATTCACAGAAAACTGTTAGTGTCCCTGAGAAGCTTGAAAGACAAGAAACATTCTTCCATTCTACTCATCTTCTTCTCTAATGAGGAAACAACCTTAAAAACACAGTTACATGGCCATAAAAATTAATGAATGGCTACCTCAGAATGAAAATTCAATGTCTCATTTTTTTTTAGTGTTCTTAGAATAGTTCACTAGTTGTCCATGCCTCTGAGTCTCCTGTTGAGATGTCTTTTGCAGCTTTCCTTGAAACCTTTTATTCCGAACTACATAGTCCAATAATTTTGCCACCAATCTTCTGGTTATATTATGCTCCTGAGTTCATTGTCTATAAACTTGATTAGGCATTCCTTCCCCTCGCCACTCACCTCTGATAACCCAGCTGTGTGTTGGTATTTAGTATGAATTCACACCAGCAAGTTCAGCTCTTTTCAATCAATATAGGGCCACACAGAGACCTTTGACTGACTACTCCCGAAGTATTTCACATTTTGGGGCCTTATCTCCAGTTTTTCACCACAGTTGTTCATCACTGTGTTTCTTACTAGCCAAATGTTTATAAAAACATTAATACCTAACATTATTGATTACCTACTATAGTGTCAGGTGCTGTAATAATATTATTGTGATGATGATTATGCTGTTGTTTCTGGCATTGTCATACATGTGTTGCTTGTACTACTCATTGAATCTACACAACTGCCCTTATGACATTTACCCTATTATTATTCCTCTTTTAAGGTAAATATATGAAAAATGCTTCCCACTTTGCCTTGCTTACTGCTAGTGTTGAACAAATGTTACAGCTGAAACTTAGAGAGGTTATGTGGCTTAACCAAGGTCCCAGAGTTCCTAAGGCAGAGAGTAGGATTGTCTACCAAGCATTCTGATTCTAGTACTATACATCTTAACCATTATCATAGGCTGACTTGCTCTACAGTGTCCAACACTATTCATATTACAATTTATTTAATGACTTTGAAACAGTGTTTCATGTCTAAATAGAAGAACTAGCTCTCATTTTTAAGAAAATATTGTATCTCGGTTTTTCTTCGCTGCTAGCCAGTTTACTAACAATTTGAAATAAAAAGAAAAAAAAAATGATAAACTGCTCCCAGTATAAAATACAGAGCTAAGACAGGAACATTTCATTGACTTTGATTTCCCTAGGGTCCAGCTCTGAATTAATTTACTTCCTGTTCAAGGGAATTTTAAGTCAGAAAGAACATCTTATCCCATCTTGTTTTGCCTTTTTTTTCCCTTGAATGAAAAAAAATAAGTAAAATGTATTCCCCTGGCAAGGTCTGAAAACTTTTGTTTTCTTCACCACTTCCGCAATGTATATTATTGTTATTGAGAAGACTTATTTAACTTAAATTACTTGTCCAGGCACGAGAATGAGCAAAATCATTTTTTAAAAAAATTGTTAAATGTATATTAATGAAAAGATTGAATCTTTTAATTTTCTACCATGTATTGCTGAACAAAGTGTCCACATTGTTAGAAAAAGATATAGAATGTCATGAATAAGAGTTTGGCTCAAATTGTTACTCTTCAATTAAATTTGACTTATTGTTATTGGAATTGGCTCTTTAGCTTGTGTTTCTAATTTTTCTTTTTCTTCTTTTTTCCTTTTTGCAAAAAACCCAAAATATTTTAGCTCCTAGTCAGACTGTTACTCTGGTGACACAACCTGTGGTTACTAAGGAAACTGCCATCTCCAAACTAGAAATGCCATCTTCCTTGATGTTGGAGGTACCTGCTCTGGCAGATTTCAACCGGGCTTGGACAGAACTTACCGACTGGCTTTCTCTGCTTGGTCGAGTTATAAAATCACAGAGGGTGATGGTGGGTGACCTTGAGGATATCAACGAGATGATCATCAAGCAGAAGGTATGAGAAAAAAATGATAAAAGTTGGCAGAAGTTTTTCTTTAAAATGAAGATTTTCCACCCATCACTTTACTCTCCTAAACCATTTCCCACCAGTTCTTAGGCAACTGTTTCTCTCTCAGCAAACACACATTACTCTCACTGTTCAGCCTAAGTATAATCAAGGATATAAATTAATGCAATTAACAAAAGTAGCCATACATTAAAAAGGAAATATACAAAAAAAGCAGAAACCTTACAAGAATAGTTGGCTGAGTTAAATTTACTAAACAACCTGGTATTTTAAAAATCTGTTTTATACCAAATAAATCACTCAATGGAGCTATTTACATTTAAACTGTTTGTTTTGGCACTATGTAGCCCAACATATTGCAGAGTCAAATATAATAGTCTGGAAATTGATTATTATCTTCTCTTCTAAGTTGTCTGTGCCAGTTTTCCTCCTCCAGTGATAAGGATTATTGAAAGAGAGATATAAATTAAAAAGAGAAAAGTAACAAAACATAAGATATTTTAAAATACCCTAGATCTTAATGTTGGCATTTACACAATGCCATGTTCAAATGAACATGTTTTTAATACAAATAGTTCATTTTTCAGCCTCAGTGTAATCTATTTGATAAAATTATGACATCAACTAGAAGCATTAGAATATATTTATGTAAATATGGTTTACGTAACTAGATCAAATATACTATACATCTTTTATATATGTGAATGGTTAAGAAAAATAATTTTGGAATTGTTATACATTAAAGTTTTTTCACTTGTAACAGCTTTCAAGTCTTTCTAAAGAAATAGGAAGTTGTGCTGAAGGTATTTAGGTATTAAAGTACTACCGTTTGAAAAAACAAGAAGTGAGGCAGACAGAGTAAGGGGAATTTCTTTGTAAAATAAATTTCAGCAATTCAGTAGGAATAAAGTAATTTGATAGTAAACAACCTGCATTTAAAGGCCTTGGGCTTGAATACAGAAGACCTGAATTCAGTGCCATTTGCAAATGATGACTGTGGTCAAGCCATCTCGGGATCTTGGTTTCCTATTCTGAGTACAGAGCACACAGAATACACATTCACATTCACAATATAGTTATGGATATGGATGTATATAAATATATGTAAATACCACATATATGTACATGAAAATTTGTTTTACTTTTGCTTTATAAAAAGTAATTATAGCCACATTTTTCAGAAAACGTAACTGAGGCTCATAGATATCAAATTCCCAGTAAGTAGCAGAACAAGGATTCAAATCCAAGTCCGTTTGATTCCTAAGCCAGTGTTATTACTTGATACATATACTGCAGGCAGTACATGTATCAAGTAATACATATACTACAAGTAATACATACTATTGCTGCAGTAATAACTGTAACTGCAATTACTATTTAGTGATTTGTATGTAGATGTAGATGTAGTCTATGTCAGACACTATGCTGAGCATTTTATAGTTGCTATGTACCAATACATACAGAAACAAGAAGTATGTTCTTTCACAATATCATATTGAGTTATATAATACTCCCAGGACTTTTATTTACCAAAGGAAACAATATTTTATAACATTTAAAGCCCAGGTTTTGAAGTTAGATTGTTTGGGTTCAAAGCTGGGCTCCCAAGCTGTGTGACCTTGAGTAAGTTATTCAGCCTCCCTGAGTCCAAGTTTATCTATCTATAAAATGGATAGTTGTACTATCTGCCTTGCAGTTTGTTAACAGAATTAAGTTTGTTGGTACATGAAAAATGCTTCCCACTTTGCCTTGCTTACTGCTTACTGCTAGTATTGAACAAATGTTAGTAATTATATTTGGTTCCACCACGAACTCTAGAAATCTAACCAATGATGGCATTTATATTATGCAAACTGTATATCGCATCATAATACTATATGGAAATGAGAGCTTGTTTCCACTTCTGTACCCTACTCTACCATTGACATTATAGCTTCCTGCAGAAGTTACCTAATAATAGATTGGGAGAGAAAGTCCACACTTCCTTGTGACAGGTTTGCGGGTCATGCATTTAGGGAAGCCATTGATGTGCTCAGTAGTCTCCAGAGTTCTCTAAATAAATTTGTCCTTTTCAGAAAGGACTACTAATTTGATGCCGCCTCGCAGAGATTGTCTTTAAATATAGGTCAAAAACTAACGTAGAGGGCCAGGTGCAATTTTTCACACCTGCAGTCCCAGCGCTTTGGGAGGCTGAGGCAGATGGATCACTTGAGGTCAGGAGTTTGAGACCAGCATGGTCAACATGGCAAAACCACATCTCTACTGCAAATAAAAAAATTAGCTGGTGTGGTGGCACATGCCTATAATCCCAGCTACTAGGGAGGCTGAGGCAGGAGAATCACTTGAATCCTTGACCAGAGAGGTTCCATTGAGCCGAGATTGCGCCATTGTACTCCAGCCTGTGCGGCAGAATGAGACTCCGTCTCAGAAAAAAAATAATAATAATGTAGGGGAAAAAATCAAAAGCCATTTCTGAGACACAAAAATATAGGATTTATAAATTATATATAGTATAAAAATATTTTTAAAATATTATATATAGCATATTATATATAATGATATATAATGTATATATATTTATAAAAAATCTAATCTCCCTTCTCTTGCTTGCTGAATAGTGGGATGCTTTGCCTGTCTCTTCCGCTTATATTAAAAAATAATTAATAAAGACATTGTCAGTTCTTGGCTTTTATTGCCTCAATCACCAAATTGTCAGTAAAATGGCCGTAAATAATCATTAAACAAATATCTGTGAGAGGGGAAATAAGAAGGAGAAGTAAGTGTGGGGAAGATTTTATTATAATTTCAGGAAATCAATATCAATTTTATGTAAAGTTTTAAATAAAGCAATCTCAACATTAATGTTTGATGTGTGAAAAATTAGGCAAAATTCGAAAAGGGCTTTATAAACTGAAAAAAAACTTTACTAACACCTATCCATTTTTATTATTTTAACCAACTTCTATTGAGCTGCCACTAAGTACCTGGGAAATATAAAGTTGTACAACATAGAATGTGCAGGTAAAAGAGGTTGAAGGAAGAAAATAATAACACTATGATAGAGATAAATTTTGGGATAATAGCTAACACATACTTAGCACTAATGATATGCTAGTCATTGATCTAAGTACTTCATGTGAATTATTTAATGCTTACAACATCACTGTGAGGTAAATACAGAGGCACAGTAAGGATAATAACCTGACTGAGATCAAGGAAGAAAGAGACAATGATGAGATATGAACTCAAGCAGTTTGGTTCCAGAGTCCTCTCCCTTAAACCTCATAGTTTTCAACTTCTTTGATATTGTGTGAGTGATGCTGTTGGGGCTTTCTTCGGGGAAAACTAAGCCAGGAGAGAGAACAGATGCTATTGAGATATTCCTGAAGAAGATAAAACTTAAGCCAAGCATTAAAGAATGAGTTGGAATTACCTAGCTAGATAAAACGAGAAGGACAATCCAGGCAGAGGGAACAGACTGTGCTTTTCACTGAGGTGGAAAAAAACAGAGTATGTCATAGGAATTGTGATTCCATATGGCTGAAGTTAAGGGTATATGATGAGAAGAAATTGATGAGGTTGAATAGAGAGGACTGGGGCTAAATAATGGGAATCCTTTGTTGCCAGACTGAGGAATTTTGATGATGGCCTACAGGCAGTGGCAACCCTGAAAGGATTGTAAACAGGAAAATAAAATCATCAAATATAGTTTAGTTGCCTATCAATTAGAGCTCTCTGGATGCAAGCAACAGAAATCATTCTCTGATTAAATCAGGCAGAAAGTAAATGTGCTGTAATTAGCACAAAGGCAATGGAACAAAACTTACAAAAGGAAAAAGAATCTGAGCATGCCTTTCTGGGCATGCGGCTAGCAAGAAGTATTCCAGTCTGTTTGTGATACTCTCTTTTCTCCATCCTGTGTGTAACTCTGTTCAAATTTTAAAGTCTTAAAAGAGAATCCAGTTCACCTTGCTTGGGTCACATGTTAATACATGAGCTAGAAGAGAGCAGAAAATTTTATTTAAATCCCTCTCCTCCCAAAGTCTCAAAATTAGGGAAAGGCAATTCTCCCGAATAGCAACTGGGGTCTGTTGACAATAGACAAGGAAAAGGTTCTGACCAACCACTGAACAATAATTGTCCACTGAACTCAGTCAAGAACATGTGGAATAAGTTGGAGGACAGAGCAAATAAAGGAGATTTGTAGGAGGTAATTATTATGTTCTAAAGCAAGCTTGTTCAACTCATGGCCTGTGAGTCACATGTGGCCCAGGATGGCTTTGAATGTGACCCAACACAAATTTGTAAACTTAAAACATGAATTACTTTTTGTGATTTTTTTTTTTTCACTCATCAGTTGTCATTAGTGTTAGTGTATTTTATGTGTGGCCCAGGACAATTCTTCCAATGTGGCCCAGGGAAGCCAAAAGATTGGATACAGCTGATCTAAAGCAACAGGGTCATCTACTCAACTTTGCAACATGTAGACCTGAAATAAAGACCATCCATATACCAATACCTCAAATATAAATTTGTTTGATTATGACACGTACAAAAATTAGTTCTCAGTAAATGTAGATAGCTTGAAGGATAATGTGAATGCAATGTGATAAGGAAACTTCATATTGAACAGATTGGAATGTGAGGATTATAATTTATAATTCCAAAGCATCAGAAGTTAGATAAGATAATGCAATAAGACATTTTATGATTCAAGGCGAAGTTAGTTATGAGATTCAGACCAAACCTTAGACACACAGTAATTGAAATATTTGCCACAGAAAGGGTATAAGGACATGACATTCAAGTAAGCTAGCCTTTTACTAGCTTTAGACTTTGAACTCAGAAAACATATTTGGTGAAAAACTTATGGTCTCCTTTAGTATGTATTGCTTGATTAAAGTATTATTTTAGAAAATGGTGAGCTGCTCCCACGTTGAAATAAAAATAATTTTTACTAAGTGAATTATATTCAGTAAAAAATGGAA